TGGCTGCTGAGGCGGCTCTGCCCGTGGGGGTGGCAAATCCTGAAATGGCGGTGGGCCTCCTACAGGTGCAGGAGCAGAAGCAGGAGCAGGAGCAGGAGCAGGAGCAGGTTCCCCATGATGGTGGTGAAATTCGACCTGGCTCTGAGTCTCTTGCAAAAGCAAGTGCAGGTTCTCCCTGCAGGGATGGTTGATTCTTATCTGGCTCTGCGTCTCCTGCAGGATATTCCTTGGGATCTGGGTCTTCCTTTATTTTTTTCCCAGGCATCTGCACCTACATGTAACTCCTCTGAATATACAGATGTTGGAGGTAGAGACAGCTGTAAAGCGTTGTGGAAGTGCTCTGGGGACTCCTGCTTGGGTGGCCCGGCACTCATTGCCCCCCACAACACGCACACACCCCGACCTTCTCATCTTCGGGCTCTGGCTTGGTGGGCTGCAGGGCCTCCAGCTGACTCAAGGGAAGGTTGACATGGTGCTCCAGTTTGAAGCCGGGTGTGCTGAGCTGCCCATCAGCCCGGGACAGGACCCTGGGGAGGGGCCTGGGTAGTGCCTGGGCAGCAGGCCTTCCCCGTTCATCTCTGGGCCCTGGATCTGGAGACCCCTCCTTTTCTGTTGGGCTCTCTGGCCAGGGAAGTGAGGTCACTTCCTGGAGTCCCCTTACCCAGCTTCCTCCTTACACAAAGCTCCCCCCAGGACCCCTCTGGGCTGCTGACTGCTCACCCCCACCTCATGCCATGTCCATGCACAGTGACACCAACTCAGCACACTCCCCAGCCCTGGGGCGGCCTGGGTGCGCGACGGAACTGCTCCAGTGGGCTGGAGACAGTTCACAAAAGTGGCCCGATGGTAGCACCATACAATCAAAGTGACCTACACACCAAATTGGCCATAAACATTGCCCAGACACCAGGGATGTGCATGTGCCTCTGGTGAAATCTTTGCTCAGGAGACCCCAGCATCTATCATCCATCTTCTCCATGGACTTCGGACTTTTGTTCTTCCTTTTTTCAGCTGATACTTCGCTAGCTTATTCCTGGAGAAATTAGATCTCATCTGGCAAGAGCAGAATCATCTTCCCAAAATATGAGAAAAGAACAGGCATGGTCCACATCCATCTTATCTTTCTCTGCCTGCCTGGCCCCATGATGTCAGAAAAATGTGTCCCTCCGCCTGTCAGGAGCCAAACCCCAGGTAAAGGACTTAGATATAAAGGAAACCACAATATAGTTTTGAACTACAGATGCTTTTTTAAAAAAAGCAAAAACAAACAAAACAAACCCCCTAAAACAGCAGGTGCCAAAAGGTCATGCGGACCTTTTTCCTTTTTCTTCCTGGAAGCAGGAGGTAACATAGCCATCCCCCAGCCCCACCGCCGAAGGAAGACATGCTCCCCCTGCCGGCAGGAGAGTGATGGTTGTCACTGGGGGCACAAAGTTGAGAATGGGAGAACTCTGTACACCCAGACCTTGTTAAATACAATTCTCGTCCTCCTTAGCCTCCCCACACAGCATAGTTCTTTCTCCACAGTCGCCTCTCTTTGTTCAACCCAATGGAAAAGCATTCAGGTTTTGCCACTTCTCTGGGCCTTTCTTCACTTCCTAAGGAGGGCTCCCTGTGTCATTTGCAAATTAGGGGATATAAATGTGTATGCTTCGCCCTGTGAATCTGTCTCCTGTCCCTTTAATTCTCAGGACCAGCTGTCAACTCTAAGAGGGTGGAGGTACAGTTTTGCCTCGGCGACACCTTTCTTGCTGGCATCTTTGAATTCTACCTCCCTCCTTGGCTTGATTCTTCAGTAATGCCCACATGCTCTCAGCTACCATCTTCAAAAACTCTGTGAACATGGGCTGTGTCTTTCAAGGTGAAACACATTCTTACCATATGAACCAGCTCTCAAACTCTTTGATATCAATGGACCCAAATGTTCACATCTACACAGAAACCTGCACCAGGACATTTATGGCAGTTTTAGTCATACCTGCCAGAACTTGGAAGCAACCAAGATGTTCTTCAGGAGGTGAATGGACACATAGACTGGGCTACATCCATGCAACAGAATGTTCCTCGGCACTGAAAAGAAATGAGAGAGATATGGAGCCACAGGAGACAGGTGGGGCACCTTAAATGCATATTACTCCCTGAAAGAAGCCAATCTGGAAAGGTGGTATACCTTAGGGTACCAACTACGTATGACAGCAACTCTGCATTGAGCAATTTTAATAGTGCAACTCTAGACATGGGAAGAAGCAACAAGGAAAACATTTCCTGGATCATCATAGACTAGTAAGACAGGTGATCCAGAAAATTTTCGGTTATCAACAGGGTCTAATCCAAACATTAACACATTGAGTGGCCTATCAACAGAATCCTCGCCTGATCTAGGAATAAGTCTGCCTAGCGCCATGGGACAAATTGCTCATGAAATGCTTCCCAAACCTTGGTTGAATTTATGACCAAGAGAAAATATTGTGGACAAAATATCTTGCCTACCATTTCAATAAATAAAGAATGTTACCTGCCATCAAGCTATCAGCGCTGCTGCTGCCCTGGCGGTGCACCCTGAGGGGAATTCAGGATGGAAAAAAACAGGATACTGGCCCTAGACAGTTAAGACGCACATCAAAGGAATAATTTCAGTAAGCCTAGATTCTTTGCATCTTCCCATACTTAGAAAAGCACTAAAATTGTTAACCTGAGATGTCTGTTTTTCTGTGATTAGCAGTAATCTTTTGATGTACAACTACATTCTTTTTTTCAGCAAAGACCCATGTATTCTGGTTCCTCCCTTTCCTCTTGGGTGCAGTTCCTCAGAGATACCTTGGAGGCTGCCTTTCCGGGCTATAGTTCTCAGTAAAGTCTGCAAATAAAACATAACTTGAAACTTTTAGGTTGTGCAGTTTGGGGGTTTTGTTTTTCTTTTTTCTTTATTTCTCTTTCTCTTTCTCTTTCTCTTTCTCCTTCCCTCCC